AATAGAAGGTAAAAGTGGAAGCAGTGACAGATTTTATTTTCTTGGACTCCAAAATCACTGCAGACAGTGACTGTAGCCCTGAAATGAAAAGACGCTCGCTCTTTGAAAGGAAAGTGATGCCCAACTTAGGCAACATATTAAAAAGCAGAGACATCACTTTGCCCACAAAGATCTGTCGGGAGCCACCGGGATGCACCCATTCCATGATAAGGTCATGGGACAAGAGAGGAACCTGCAAGGCAGCTCTTCCTCACATGGGGCTGCCCCGGGGGCCCAATATGTCCCCTCCGGAGCCGCCGGGAGGAGAAAGAAATCTGCAAGGCAGCTCTTCCCCTAGAGGTTGTCCTAGGGGCTCGGTATGTCCCTTTCTTCCTTCCATCTTACTGTTGTTGGGCTTTCTATTAATTTTTGGAAATATAATATATAGTAATAAGGCCTCACTGGAAAAGTCCAAGCCTTTTTGGAAATGCTCATGATTGCTCTGGCTCAGGACACGACCATAAACATCAAGTCAAAAAAGAAAACGCCACAGGTATAGTTTGGCTGCTTGCTTAAAAGATTATAATGTTCTAGAATAGAAAAGAGTAGAGGTATTTAGATTTAAAAGTAGATATACTGCTTTAGTTTACTTGCTCCTTGGTTGAAAGGGTTTTCTTTATTGCTATTTCCTTGTTGCTATTTGTTCATTGTTTCCCTTTCTTTAAACAACACGGGATATTATGGGTATTTGTGTAAAATTAGAAAATGGGGTGTATAGGATTTTAATAGAAGATTTATATTAACCAGCTTCACTGCCATTATCTTACTATTAATAGAGGTGTTTTGCTGTTTTAGAGATGTTTTTGCTGTTTATTAGTTAATCGTTGTAAATTGAGATTTTGTGGTTTCAGGTAAAGAAAAATATCAGGTTTTTCTCATGGTATTCTCAGAAATGTCAAACATGTTACTGTGACCCTTCCCATGTATTGTTTTATTGTCCAAAGAATTTACACTATACCTGAGATTTGTGGAACATTGTTTTTGTTAGAGTGAGAATGTTAGGCCATTGAGGCAAGAAGACTATGTACGGGACATTTAAGTATAAACCCTGTAATCGGAAACGTTCTAGATGAATGCATAGGGGAAAAACATGGGAAAAACATATTGACGGAAGCACAAACCAATATCTGGTGTAATATGTGGTGACTTAAGGGGGAGGTAACATTCATTCTATAAAAACTGAGCTATCCTAAAAAAAGAAAAAGCTACCTCTTCTACGAAACCTTCTGTGTCTGTCTGTCTGTCTGTCTTCCTTGCCGACGCCACTCATCCCTTGGGTACTCCTGGTTCTGCTGGGGCTGGGCCTCGGCAAAGATCCATCCATCCAGTCAAAGCTGTGGTTTTTCCAGTAGTCACGTGTGGATGTGAGAGTCAGACCATAAAGAAGGCTGAACGCCGAAGAATTGGTGCTTTCAAACTGTGGTGCTGGAGAAGACTCTGGAGAGTCCCTTGGGCTGCAAGGAGATCAAACCAGTCACTCTTAAAGGAAATCAGTCCTGAATATTCATTGGAAGGACTGCTGCTGAAGCTGAAGCTCCAATAATTTGGCCACCTGAATTGAAGAGCTGACTCATTGAAAAAGACCCTGATACTTAGAAAGACTGAAGGCAAAAGGACAAGTGGGCAACAGAGGATGAGATGGTTAGATAGCGTCATCGACTCAATGGACATGAATTTAAGCAAACTCCAGGAGATAGTGGAGGACAGAGGAGCCTGGCATCCTGCAGTCCATGAGATTGCAAAGAGTCTGACACAACTTAGTGACTTAACAACAATGACAGTATAAGATGCCTCAATTTTTGAATCATATGTTCAACAGACATAAAACAATTATGCCAAATTATGTCAAATTGTAACAGTACTGCAGTGCCCGCTCTTGTCTTCTGAACCTGTTGTGCTAAGGAGTAGCAGTGAACATCTGGCAGAATGGCACTGGGCCATGGACCATATTTTGAGTAGCACTTACTCAAAGACTAGAAGCGAACACTATAGAGGTGGAATTTTCCCCTCTTTTTGGCTTGATTTTTTGTTGTGGAATTATATTGCTATTCAAAATTTGGGGAATTCCCTGGTGGTCTAGTGGTTAGGACTCACACTTTCACTGCTGGGGCCCCGGTTCAATCCTTGGTCAGGGAACTAAGATCCAGTAAGCCATGCAGCAAAGCCAAAAAAGAGAACGAGAGAAAAGAAACAATTTAAAATATGTACAGATAATAACTCAAAAAATAAATCTCCTCCAAGTCCTGGTTAAAGAGAAAAATGTATTTGACGTGAACCACAGCCAAGCGTGCGTGCTTCCTCCCCCTCCTCCTCCCCGACTTCACCTCCTGACCTCCACCCCGCTGTCCCCAGCCTGCTCGCCCTCAATCTCCCTTCGTCCCTGGTGGGAGGGTCCAGGCTCTGGTGCACCCCTTCCCGGCCCTGAACATTGGGGACATCACTTCATCCTCTGAGCATCAGTTTTCTCGTGTGTGGTGATTCCAGTACCCACCTCAGAGCGTTGTCTGAGGAGTAAATGAGATCACCCAAACAGCAAGAGTTCTGAGCCCCTGGGGGGACATGTGCATGTGAAGTAGGGCCCCCTGGCTGCCCATAGCGGTCCCCAAACAGTCAGGCCAGCTCTGGTCAGCCTCCCAGTCTCATTCCCATCTCACCCTCCCCTCTCAGACAAGCCGGCTCCTCCTTCTCCGCCTCCGCAGTCTACCTCCCCTCCTAGTGTACACGTCCTCCCCTTCCAGCTGTGAGCTCCCCCAGTCCAAGGGGGATCCTCCCCAGAGGAAAAGCCAGGCCAGCCTGCTGTATTATTTTTCTCTATTAGAACTGAAGACCCTGTAATTCCTCCCACCTGTAATAATAATAATAACAATACATTCATATTGGCTAATTCAATGAGAGCTTAGTGTGTGCCAAGCCCCATCCCAAGCCCTGTCCGTGTTTAAATTCATTTAATGCTCACAACCATCCTATGAGGTAGGTTCTCTTCTAAGCCCAATTTACAGTTGAGGAAACTGAGGCCAGCAAGCAAGGAAATAGATTGCCCAAGGCCACCCAGACGATAAGCCCCACACTCTTATCCACAAAACTATACATGCTTCCTGGTGGTTTTCCTCCTTCCTGATGGTTGGGATCAGATCTCTCTTACTCACCCAGCTCAGGGCCTGGCACGATGGAGCGTGTGTGCGTGCTAAGTTCTTCAGTCATGTCCAACACTGTGCGACCCTATGAAATATAGCAGTCCAAGCTCCACTGTCCATGGGATTCTCCAGGCAAGAAATACTGGCAATGTTTACCATGCCCTCCTCCAGGGGATCTTCCCCACCCAGAGAAGCTCTGTAAAACCTTTGTTAAATGAATGAATGAATGGGTGGATAAATTCTGCCCACTGTGCTATCTTGACTATTCTTATGTGTATAGTTCACCGAGAGTGCAGGCTTCGAGGATCCCAGCTGAACTCTGGAAGTAATGGTTCCAGGACCTCCCTGATTGTCCAATGGTTAAGAATCTGCCTGCCAAAGCAGGGGACATGGGTTAGATCCCTAATCTGGGAAGATTCCACGTGCCACAGGGCAACGAAGTCCATGCGCCACAACTACTGAAGCCTGAGTGCCCTAGAGCCAGCGCTCAGCAACAAGAGAAGCCACGGCAATGAGGAGCCCGCCCACCACCGCTCCAGAGCCTGTGCTCAGCAACAAAGACTCAGGGCAGCCAAAAACTAATTAATTCATTAAAAAGATTACCGACTCCAGCTTCCTACCGCGTGAAGGCCAAAAACTTGGTCCCTGCTCGGTCATTACAATGCAAGGGCTTGACCACTGTGACTGGGCCTGTTTCCCTTCCAACACCCTCCCCTCAGAGTCCTTGCTACAGCAGCTCATTCATGGCTCTGCTTTTCTGCTCTCTCTTGATTAAAACAACAACAACAAAAATGTTCTATCTTCTATATATTCAGAGCAGGAAGGGCCCCAGCATCCCACCTCCAAATAAGCACCTCAAGCACACGCATTCACTGAGGGCACATGGAGGCCACAATTTTATCCAGAGTGAAAAACTCTATTCCAAGGCAGTGTGGTTGCTGTCTATTGTGAGGGCCTGTTGTTTAGTTGCAAAGTTGCGTCGGACTCTTTTGCGATCCCATAGACTATATAGCCCACCAGGCTCCTCTGTCCGTGGAATTCTCCAGGCAAGAATACTGGAGTGGGTTGCCATGCCCTTCTCCAGGGGATCTTCCCAACCCAGGGACTGAACCCACGTCTCCTGCATTACAGGCAGATTCTTTACCACTGAGCCACCAGGGAAGGCCCGTCAAGGGCCTGCAATGTGCTGGGTACCATATGGGTGCTTTTTGTATACCTGACCTCATTTAATCCTTCCAGCTCCATGAGGTAGGCACTAAGACTGTCACTGGTTCAGTTGAGAAAACTGCCAAAAACACAGATAGAAAAGGAGCAGAACCAGGATTCAGACTGAGGTAATTGGCCCAACCTTTACCAAACATACCCTGTCTTCCTCTATCCTTCCACAAGCCACCTGCAGCTTTCTTATCTTGCCCAGTGCTCTGAGCGTGGAGTCCATGTGGCTTCCTTCCTGTTATGTGTCCTTAGCACCCAGTGGGTGTGACCCACGGTGCAAGCAGTCATTGCAGAAGTTACTGTGATTCTGTGGACTGGAGGACCTGTCAGGAGGGACCACAGAACTCACATGGCTCTTGGCCTGAGCCCCCGTTACCGAGAGAAAGGAGGCTCTGGCCAAGGACTCTTGAGGGGGGAGAGAAATGCTGGGAGTAGACTCAGCTCTGGTCGGGACCCAAGCACCCTGCCCTCCCCGAGACGTTGTGTGAGCAGGGCCAGGCCTCCAGATTCAGCCCCTCCCGCCCGCCCCAGCCAGGGTGGTGCTTGTGGAGGAAGGACTTTAAATCCAGCTGCCAGACCCCTGAACGGGAGAGGCAGAGAGGACTGGCCACCATGCAGAGCTCCGGCAGTCTCCTGGCATATCTGCTGCTGCCACTGCTACTGCTGGGGGCTGCCCCAGGCCCCGCCGGCGCCCTCAGTGAAGATGAGAAACACGTGATGGTGGAACTGCACAACCTCTATCGAGCCCAGGTGTCCCCGCCGGCCACCAACATGCTGCGAATGGTGAGTGCAGCCCAGATCCCCGCCAACCCCTTCCTCCCCACGAGTGGAAGCTCCCTCGGATTCCTCTCTCCGGCCCCATAAGCGGTCTCATTATACAGATGAGCAGACTGAGGCTTAGAGGGACTTGCTGGCCCCTTAGGGGCTTGCAGGTCCCACACCTGGTAGAGCTGGGCTGGAAGTCCTGCTTCCTGACCCAGTGACCCCTTCCCAGCACCTCCTAAAATGCACTTGCCCCTGGGAGAGGGAGCACAGGAAGCTCCTAACACCTGGGTGAAATCATCTTTCAAATGCCCTCCAAGGAGATGAACAGAAAAAACAGGCAGCAGGATGGGAACCAGCACCCAGGGTAGGAGGGATGGACTAAGGAGGTGGGGTGAGAACAGGAACCAGAAGCAGAGAAGGCTCTGGATCACACACATCAAATTCTGCTCAACCACCCAACAGGCCAGTGATTCAGGGTGAGTCCCTTAACCTAGTGTGCATGCGTGCGTGCTCAGTCGCTTCAGATGTGTCTGACTCCCGGCAATCCTGTGGACCATAGCCCACCAGGCTCCTCAGTCCATGGGATTCTCCAGGCAAGAATACTGGAGTAGGTTGCATTGCTCTCCTTCAGGGGATCTTCCCAACCCAGGGATCAAACCTGCGTCTCCTGCACTGCCGGCAGATTCTTCACCGCTGAGCCACCACAGAAGGCCCCTTAACCTAATAAAGATCCTCAGTTTCCCATCTGTAAAATGAGGTCATAATTAGAGCTCCATAAATATCAACATACGCGCTTCCCTGGTGGCTCAGTGGTAAAGAATCCACCTGCCAACGCAGGAGATGCATGAGATGCAGGTTCAATCCCTGGGTCGGGAAGATCCCCTGGAAGAGGAAATGGGAACCCACTCCAGTATTCTTGCTGGGCCATGGACAGAGGAGCCTGGTGGGCTATAGAGTCCATGGAGTCACAAAGAGTCTGATACAACTTAGCTACTAAAACAACAACTAATATCAACATGACTGAATCTCAAAGATAATATTGAATAGCGGGAAGTGAAATCTCAAAAAAAATATACATATTGATTTTTTAAGTAGAGTAGGGTATATTTGCATGAGGTTTAAAACATGTAAAAAGTTCTATTGCAAACTGGTGGAGGACATATGCAGATGGACATACCTAAGGATGACAGAAGCCAGATTTGGGGAGGTAGTTACCACTGTCAGAGGGGGAGTTTTTTGATGCAGGGTTAGGGGGCAGGATGCTCAGGATTAAAAGAGAGAAAGTGAGCAACTGACCCCTTTCCTCCCCACCCCCGCCCCAAGGGCTAGGTCGGCCTATCTTCTCCAGTCACCCTTAGGTGGGGAGCGGCGTCCAGAGTCCCTCAGCTGGTGCCGAAGAGCAAGGCTGCGCCTGTGGGGTCCAAGCCCAGAGTTCTAACAACTTTGTCCAACCTGGTTAAGTGACTCTGGGTGAAGTGACCTTCAAAAGCCTCTGTTTCCTGATCACATGGCGCTGGCAACCCCTGCCCTGGGGGTCAGACAGGAAGACCTGTGAGAAAGATCTACAGCTCCGCAGGTGCACACAGCAACCCCCTTCCCAGTTCTGTCGGCCTTGGCAACCGACAGGAGCTGCAGACAACAAATTAGGAGCCCCCGATGCTGGTACCAGGGCTTCCCTGGTGGCTCAGTTGGTAAAGAATCCACCTGCAATTTGGGAGACCTGGGTTCAATCCCTGGGTTGGGAAGATCCCCTGGAGGAGGGCGTGGCAACCCACTCCAGTATTCCTGCCTGGAGAATTCCATGGACAGAGGAGCCTGGCGGGCTACGGTCCATGGGGTCTCAAAGAGTTGGATGCTACTGAGTGACTAAGCATAGCACAGATGGTGGTACCAGCTCTTCCTACAGTTCCCTGATTGAGGCCTGGAACTCACTGTTGGGCCTTGGTTTCCCCATTGGTAGGTTCCTGATTCCCTACATTCTTGCTGGCTGAGACTGGGGGCAACACAGGCTGGGATCTGCTTTGCAGTCAGAGGTGGACCTCAGGAGTGGGGCAACAGTTTCTGAAGCAGTTCAGGTACTGGCGAGATATGCTGCTGCCTGGTAGGAAGTGATCTGAGGAAGGGGGGATAAGGCTGGGCTGGGACATAAGGCTAACTTTGGGACAAGGTTCAGGCTCAGCTTCAGCAGTGATAAATGCGAGACTCTGGAGTTAGATGGCCTGGGTTCACATTTGACTTTGCCTTTTATTAGCTGTGTGACCTCAGCCAAGTTACTTATCCTCTCTGTGCCCCAGCTGTAAATCTGAGATGACAACACTAACAATTCTCGTAGGGTGGTTGTAAGGACAAAATGAGTGACTATGTGTAAAGTACTTAGGACAGTGCCTGGGACACAGTAAGTGCTCAATAAGTGATAAGGGAATGGATCCAGGGTGAGGCAGGTGGGTGTTATCATAGACTCTTCTCTCTCCCTCAGCCTCCAAGTCTAATTATCACCACTTTTACCTCCCAGAAGGCCCAACTATTCTTGAATTGCATCTCCTCTCACCTCCCACCATCTCTTTGACACAACCCTGCTTCAGTGTTTCTTTTCCCACGGACTTCTAGAACAGCCTCAACCTGCTTCCCCAGCCTCTGGCCTCTACAACCAGCATGAAGATCCAATACATTGGTCTGACCTTGCTCAAAACCCTTCCTTGGCTCCCACTGGCTCCCTGCTGCCTCCAGCTAAAGCCCCAGCCCCTGACGGGCCTTGCTCTGGGTGTCTGGCCTTACACACCTCTCCAGCCTTGCCTCCTGCACACTTTCTCCCTCTAACCCAGCAGCTGTCTTTCCCCCACCAAGACCTTGTTTCCCATCTCCACCCATTGGCTCATGTTTTGCCTCAGCTCATGCTGCCTTTCCCCTCTCCACCTGGCCAGTGCCTTACTTTTTAACACCTAGCTTCATGTTTCCTTCTCCATCCTCGTGCATGCATGCTCTGTCGCTCAGTCATGTACGACTCTTTGCGACCCCATGGGCCCGCCAGGCTCCTCTCTCCATGGGATTCTCCAGGCAAGAATCATGGTGTAGGTTGCCATGCCCTCCTCTAGTCTCCATCCTCAGGTTGGGCTAAATGGCCCTCTCTGGTAAGGGGTAGGCCATTGGATAGCTGTCAGTGACCACATAGTGGCCTAATTAATGGTTTATAACACTGAAATCTTGGGCTTCTTAGTTCTGGCCGTCACCCCAGGGCTGGCATAGTGCCCAGGACTGTTGAATGAATGAAGGAGTGGACTTGCTCTCAGAGGTGACCAACTGGCTACTGTGGGTGGGTGTTGTGACCCTTGAGCCTCTCCACAAGGGTCTCTGGACAACTGACAAGCCTTAAGACCCACAGGAGTGACTTTCTAACGGTGGGGCTCAAGGCATCTAATTGGAACAGAAATTACAGCCAAGGTCTGTAGAGGAGCCAGCTTTGAGCAGGGCTGTGTCGCAGTCATTAACAGCAGACAAATGTCTTCTGAGCACCTGCTCTATGCCGGCCACCCTAAAGGAGCTTACGGTCTAGTCTGGAGCCCCGAAGGTCATCCCAGGCACCCTGAGCCTGGTCCCCAGCACCCTGTCCCTTTCCCGCTTCCTGTTCTCCACCACTCCCCATTTGCGAGAACCTCAGAAACCAGTGACTTGGGACAAAAATGCCCACAGAGGGGAAGGGGATTCACCAGAAAGTTATAGTGGTAGAGCTATCCAGCCAGGGTTCCCATTCCTACCCCAGGCAGCTGCTCTTGAGAACCGGGTCGTGTGTTGGGGAAGGAGTGGGTGTGACCACATGGCCCCCTCCCTTCAGGGTCACCCACGCTCTTGGCCCTTTATGGGCCGTCTGGCTCCTGCAGCTGGCGGGGCCCCCAGAGGGTGGAGCAAGAGTTGCTGCCAGGCCATCCATTTCCAGGAGAGGCCAAGGACAAAGTTTAATGGGATCCAGGCTTCCCTCCTCAATCCTTTGGTCAGATGCCTCGTTAATTCCCTCTTCCCACCCACCCTGGGCCTGTCCTCCCTGCCAGGGACACAAAACCTCTGAGGCCCCCTAACCTGAAATGCCCCCTCCTACCATCTCACTGGAGGTCCCCACTGGAGAATCCTGCCTTTGGGACTAGATGGCTCTCTGGGCCACCAAAGCTCTGAAATCCTTCTCTCAGTGAGCATCGCACAGAGACACTTCACTTTCTTGGGGAAAGTGGTTGTCTAGTTGACAAGAGAGCAATTGGGAGGACAGCCTGGAACTAGAAAAGCCATGGAGGCCGGGTTATCCCAAGGGGAGTGCGTGAAAGTGGTAGTCGCTCAGTCGTGTCTGACTCTTTGCGACCCCATGGACTGTAGCGCTTCAGGCTCCTCTGTCCACGGAATTCTCCAGGCAAGAGCACTGGTGTGGTTTGCCAGGGGAGCTTCTTCAGGGAATCCCCTCCTCCAGGGGATCTTCCCGACCCAGGGGTCAAACTCAGGTCTCCTGCATTGCAAGCAGATTTTTAACCATCTGAGCCACGGAGAGTGGGAGGTTAAAGGGGAGTGCTGGCCCCTCAGTCAGATTTCTGGTGGGTGGGTAGAGGGAACAGAATGGCTGAATAAACCACCCAGCCCCGGAACATCTCACTGGACATCTGGTGTGTCAGACAGTTCAGACAGCCTTGACAGGGCATCAGCACCCACCTTTCATGTAGACGGATATTAGTATTAATTAATAATCCCACTGTCAAAAACATCATCCCATTTATTCCTCCCGAAGGCCTGAGTTCAGAATGGTAGGCAATCTGTCTAAAACTACACAGCTGGAGAACAGTCCCAAGTTTGGCTAACTCCTCCTGACCTGGGGTGCCACCCTCCCACCTCCCCACAGAAGCCCACCGGGACCAGAGTTCTGCTCCAGATCACAGCCACGAGTCACCCCACAAGGAGGGGGAGGGTCTTCCTCCTCCAGAGGGCCCCCCAGGACACCCTCAACCTTTTTTTCTCACCCCCACAGAATCGTAGGCATCCTCCCCTCCCCTCTCCCACCCTCCTCTCCCGCCTCCCCTGAGCCCGAGGCGTCCTCATCTCCCTGATCCCTGACCTGCCCCTGCAGAGGTGGGACGAGGAGCTGGCCGCCTTCGCCAAGGCCTACGCGCAGCAGTGCGTGTGGGGCCACAACAAGGAGCGAGGGCGACGCGGCGAGAACCTGTTTGCCATCACGGGCGAGGGTCTGGACGTGCCGCTGGCCATGGAGGAGTGGCACCACGAGCACGAGCACTACAACCTCAGCGCCATCAGCTGCGCTGCGGGCCAGATGTGCGGCCACTACACGCAGGTGAGGGGCTGGCCGGGAGGGCGGGGCCCGCGGCGATGGGGCGGGGCCGCACGGCGATGGGGCGGGGCCGCACGGCGATGGGCGGGGCCACCTCTCGCCTCAGGTAGATCCCCGGAAAACTTAGGCGCACCCCGTCCCCCGGCCTCCCGGTCCTGAAGAGACCTGAATTAGGTATTCCTAAGCCTCTCTCCCAGAGAAGGCAACGGCACCCCACTCCAGCGCTCTCGCCTGGAAAACCCCGTGGACGGAGGAGCCTGGTGGGCTGCCGTCTGTGGGGTCGCTGAGAGTCGGACGCGACTGAGCGACTTCACTTTCACTTTCCACTTTCATGCATTGGAGAAGGAAATGGCAACCCACTCCAGTGTTCCTGCCTGGAGAATCCCAAGGACGGGGGAGCCTGGTGGGCTGCCGTCTGTGGGGTCGCATAGAGTCGGACACGACTGAAGTGACTTGGCAGCAGCAGCAAGCCTCTCTCCTGGAGGATAGTTACTGTACCGGGCGATCCTGACCAAACTCTAAGCTATCTTGTCCTCTGGCCGAGTTACACACGGCTGTTGGCCCCAGCAGTAAACACATCCCTCCTTTCTCCTGTCTCTCTCTCACTGTCCCTCTTTTGTCCTTTCTCAGAGTGTCTAGGTTGCTTCTTCTAATCTGCCAGGGACTGATAAAGCAAATACACAATCTTACTTTTGTCTTTAAAAACAACATGAAAAATAAGAGAATCAGTTCAGTCGCTCAGTCGGGTCCGACTCTTTGTGACCCCATGGACTGCAGCACGCCAGGCTTCCCTGTCCATCACCAACTTCCAGAGCTTGTTCAAACTCATGTCCGTCGAGTCAGTGATGCCATCTAACTGTCTCATCCTCTGTCGTCCCCTTCTCCTCCCGCCTTCAATCTTTCCCAGCATCAGGGTCTTTTCCAATACGTCAGTTTTTCCATCAGGTGGCCAAAGTACTTGTAGCTTCAGCCTCAGCATCAGTCCTTCCAATTAATATTCAGGACTGATTTCCTTTAGGATGGACTGGTTGGATCTCCTTGCTGTCCAAGGGACTCTCAAGAGTTTTCTTCAACACCATAGTTCAAAAGCATCAATTCTTCATGCTCAGCCCTCTTTAAGGTCCAACTCTCACATCTATGCATGACTACTGGAAATACTTTAGCTTTGACTAGACGGCCCTTTGTCGGCAAAGGAATGTCTCTGCTTTTTAATATGCTGTCTAGGTTGGTCATAGCTTTTCTTCCAAGGATCAGTCGTCTTTTAATTTCATGGCTGCAGTCACCATCTGCAATGATTTTGGAGCCCAAGAAAATAAAGTCTGTCACTGTTTCCATTGTTTCCCCATCTATTTGCCATGAAGTGACAGGACCAGATGCCGTGATCTTAGTTTTTTGAATGTAGAGTTTTAAGCTAGCTTCTAATAATTTTAAAATAAGAGAATAATAATAAATAAATAAAAATTTAGATAAGAGACTACATGGTCACAGAGTGAAGGTTTCAGAGAGCCTTCTGAGAGTATTTCCTGACTCTTGCAGTCACTCATTGCTTTACTGCATTTTGAAAGTTTGCATTTGCAGACAAGGGGTGTAGTGGGGTCTGTAGAGGAATTAACATTAGTGTTATTGAATTCTCTTTTTTCTCCTCCCAATGATCTTTTGTTGTTCAAACAATAACACGACAAATTTTTTTTAAAAGAAAAGGAAATGAACCAGCCACCTTCCCACCCATATCCACCAGTTCCTCTTTCCAGTGTTTCTTTTGGGTGGTATTTTTAGTGCTGATCTTTAGGGAAGGAAATCCCAACATCACCCATCCATATCAGGAAGTTGTGCAACCCCAGCCCTCCCTGCCCTCTTCCCCCTCTCACACGCCCATACATATATCCACCTGCAGGAATTGCTGGCAGAAGCCAGCAGGAGGGGCCTGCCCCACCTCCACCCCTGTGTTCTCTGAGGCTGAGTGCATGGCACTCTAGGGTCATTTCTGCCTGGCAGATGCTCAACAGTGGTACCTAGGGAACTCTCAGCTGAGTCAAGCCGCAAGACCCCAATCCTGGGAAGTTGTGCAGAGTTAACAGTGAGAACCCGATCTTACCACACAAAAAATCCAAACAAACAAACAAACAAACAAGGAAACTGGCTTCAGATTGAGTGACTTCTCGGCAGACTGAAATTAGAAATAGCAAAGGGAGCCTATATTGGCTTGTTTCAGCCAATGGCAGTGCATAAAGGTTGTTTTGATTTGTTGCTAATGTTTAAGATTCTCCCATTTAAGATTCATTCCTTTGTTACGTCCCTTGTTTAAAATGTAAGGGACTCTAGGAAGAGCCCACAGGAAGAATTCATGAGGGTCCGTCAAAGGGGAAGGTTTTCAGAGGGATAGAGTCCTGGTGAAACAGTGTGTGTGGTTGGTTGAGAGTAGAACTGCTTGGGACAGTTTTGTCTTGAAGCCGTGTATCCTTGGGAATTTGGCTCTTACATACAGGGTTTCTCCTCTCTCACGCATGGAAGGCTGATGTAGAGAGACGCTAGCTAGGAGCCATCTTGCCCAGGCTAAACTGTTGGATTTGCCTTCCTTCAGGTGGTCTGGGCCAAGACAGAGAGGATTGGCTGTGGTTCCCACTTCTGTGAGAAGCTCCAGGGTGTTGGGGAGACCAACATCCACTTGCTGGTTTGCAACTATGAGCCCCCGTGAGTGGGGTAGGGAGCCCTGGGGGAAGGGGGTGGGCAAGAGCCAAGGGGAGGGAGGGCTGGGCTGGACACAGTCTCAGGAAGAGGAAGCAGGCTGATCTAGGGCCCGTCTTCTGGGGAGCTATGAGGGCACCGGTGGAGTCTGATCTCATCGGTCCAGCAAGTTAGTTCAGGGTGAGTAAGACCCAGGGAGCACTTCCCAGACAAGGCTTGTGTATGAGGGATAGGGTCAGCGGTTGGCTGGGACCCCCACCCCCAGCATTCTTCTCGCCTCCTGCAGGGGAAACGTGAAGGGCCAGAGGCCCTACCAAGAGGGGACTCCGTGCTCCCAGTGTCCCTTGGGCTACCACTGCAAAAACTCCCTCTGTGGTGAGTCTGGTTGGTATGGGGGGGCGTGACACTGGGGGAGGAAGGTGAGGCAGGGGGATACCCACTGGATGGTCTAGAGCTTCCTGAGGCCCCAGAGCAGCTGTGTGGGCCACGGGAGGAACCCTCAGCAGCCCCAATGCATCCAGGTTCCCAAGCCCACTTGGCCCGCTTTGCCCTCCTTGCATACCCACTTTGGCACCCTGACATTCCAAGTGACCAACTTCCTACCCTCCAAGCAGAGGGTGGAGGAGTTGGGGGCTCCCCAAGCAAGTGCAGGGGTGGGGGTGGAGGTGTGTGGATAGATGGGTGATCAGAGGGACCAGGGCCTGAGACGCAATGGGTGTGCTAGGAACAGTAATCCAGCTGAAGTCCCCTATAAAAGTGGAAGTGTGAGTGTGGAGAGAGGAAGACTTGGACAAGGCGGTGGATGGAGGGGCAAATGTCAATCACAAGAAACAACGATGAGGGACATATTCACTGGAGAGGGTGCGTGCATGTTGTGTGTGTGTGTGTGTGTGTGTGTGTGTGTGTCTTCACAGTATATTTGGTCTCCTCACCTTGATTGTGGTGGGGTGAGAAATGCAGGATCCTGTTTGCAGCACTAATGCCAGGCCTTGCCTCTCTTCTCAGAACCCATCAGAGGCCAGGAAGAGGCTCAGGATTTGTCTTCCCTGGTAATTGAGGCCCCATCTTCCCTAGCAACAGAAGCCTCAAGCTCTAAGAAAGAGGGGATCGATTCTTCCTTAGCAACAGAACCTCCACCCCTCTTGGTAACAGAGGTCTCAAGCTCCCTGGCAACAAATGTTCTATCTTCTGTAGAAACCAAGGCCCCATCTTCCTTAGTAACGGAAAACTCCCCTTCCACGGCAACAGAGACTCCACTTTCCTTAGCAACTAAAGTCCCTTCCGTTTTGGCCACTCACAGCCCGCTCTCCTTGGATAAGAGGCCGGCTACCCTCCTCCCCAAATCAACCCATGATCCCACCCCCAAATCGGCAGACAAAGAGGCCAGAGGTACAAGAATGCCTTCCAGGATCCCGGAGAGTTCTCTGCACCCCAAGATATCCCTGATGGGGACACGGGAGCCGCTACCCCTCTCCCAGGAGGAGGGTGAGGCTGAGGCCGAGTTGCTTCATTCCAGTGAGATCTTGGCCTCAGTCTTTCCAGCCCAGGACAAGCCAGATGAGGTGCAGATGACATCGAAGCACAAAGGGCACTCCTCTTCCAAGTCCCTGTCCAACTCCCCCAGCGCCTCTGCCACCGCCAATGCCATGGGTGGGCGTACCCTGGCCTTGCAGTCCTCCTTGCCAGGTAAGGCCTGTAGCGCCCATCCTACCTCCCCTCCAAGCTGCAGAATGTCAGCACCCTGCTCGAGCATAGGCAGTGTGGGCAAGGCAGGGCGTGCACCCCACAAGTAAGAGCTTCCTCCCTGGCTGCTGGGTCCCCACATGTGTGCCAGGTAGGGTGGGCGGGAGGGCGGGGAGAGACGTCCAGGCTGAGGCCAAGTCTCTCCCTTCCTGCAGATGCGGAGGGCTCTGGAAAGCATGGCTTCAGGTCAGGGTCAAATGCAAGCCCTGGGCACGTCGGGGGCCTCCTCCTGGGACTGCTGCTACTGCTTCCCCTGGTGTTGGCTGGAACCTTCTGAAGGTGTCACCACTCAAAGGCAAGGCCTCACGTGGGGATCCCTCGCCTCTGGATTGTTTTCCTCCAATAAGAGACCGCAGTTTCCTGGGAGGTCCTCTCTGGGACCCAGCAACCCTCCTTCACCCAGCCAGACCCCAGGCCAGAGGCCTTGTGCCCACAGGAGCCCTCTACAGGGCCAACCCATGGCGCTGCCCGAGTGCCTCTGCCTCTGGGGAGGTGCACCCCTTAGCCAGCTGCAGGTGGCTCTGAGCACGTTCCTGTGGCGTCAGGGACCAGCTCTCCAGGTGTCTTGTGGGCACAGTCCCGCTCTTCCATGAACAGGTCTCAGGGCTTCCCAGGGACCCCCTCGGCCCCTTCCAGTCCCCTGGCCTCTCCCTTGGGCCACTGGAGCCTGGACCTGTTCCCAGGGGTGCTTCCTGCCTTCTCAGGGTGAAGAGGTCAGCCGTCCTCCAGCCATCTCCCCTACCCTGGCCCCAGCCCTTCCCAAACGAGACACCTCATGGCCGAAGTCCCTCTGGAAGGGAAAGGCTGTGGGGCGTCTGCCTGATCCACACCTCTCTGGGGGCACAGGGCCTGGCTGCCGTGAGCTGATTGCTGCCTGCTGACTGCACACACCACCTGGGCCACTCCGGTTCCTCCCTTCTCAGTCTGGGGGTGGGGTGGGGGCGATGATTCTGGGGAGGTCTCTGCATGCCTTGGCCTTGGGTTGTCTGCCGAGGCAAGATAAGGGTTCTCCCTGAGTGTCCCCCTCCCTGAACTTGCCTGTTTAGCTGGCAGGGGGTTCTGAGAGGCAGATGAAGGACAAGCCCCATCTGAGAGGCGTTCTACAGGAGGGTGGGGAGCAGGGACCCGGGCAGGGAGGCGGCCCCTGATTCCTGAATAAAAGCCTGTGTATGAGCACCGGTCTCTGTGCTTGTGAAGGGTGGGGGGCAGGGGAGGACTCACTAGGGGCCCTGGGAGACTCACCTCTTCTGCTGCTGACCCACAACAACCGTTCCCTCTTCTTCACACCCCATCTCCCCCAAACACTCCATTGAGTTCTTTGAAGCACCTTTCCAACTGCACACCCCCTCCAACAAAAAAAACCCTCAGGTAGCTGGCGGGAGGTAGACAGGGCCAAGGGGAGGCCAGGGGCGTTGGGCTGACTCTCCCAGGAGTGGTGGAGCCCAGTTGGGCTCATGACCCAAGATGGGAGCAGCACACAACCTCTTCTCGGGGGTGCTGCTGCCCAGGCCCATCCTGGACGCAAGGTCAGCAACATACCTCAGGGATGGCTGGGCCAACCCCTGGGACGTGGAGGAGTCCTGAGAAAAGGCTCTGGATTCCCAGACACCTGTCTCCCCATGACACTGCCCCGAAGAATCAGGAGACAAGTGTGTGTGTGTAGAGCTCACAACGGTAGGTGACGAGGGCAGCTCGGGACCCAACTGGGGCTGGTGGGGAGGGGCAGGCAACCGTCTCCAGGCAAAGCGGGCTGTGAAACAGTTAAATAGGAAATCTGTCCAGAGCTGCACACTGCATGTGTGTATGTATATGTATGTATACACACATATATTTATATATCTATATACATACACACATATGTGATATATATATAAAGGAATAACTCATAGAACACAAAATTCACTGATTTATAGTTATCACTCAATGGTTTTTAGTATATTCACAGGGTTATGCAACTATCACAATTTTAGAACATTTTTATCACCCCAAACAAAAACTCCATACCTGTCAACAGACCCTTTCTCCTTTCTTCCACCTGCCAGCCCCTGCCCTAAACAACCACTCATCTACTGTCTCTATGGATTTGTCTATTCTGACATTTTGTATAAAGAGAATCATGGAATATGTGGGCTTTTGTATCTGGCTCCTTTCACTTAGCATATGTTCAAGGTTCATCCATGTAGCATGAAATAGTACTGTATTCCTTCTGATTACCAAGTAATATTCCTTTATGTGAAATATAACTTCATCTATTCATCAATTGGTAGACACTGGGTGTGTTCTACAATTTGGCTATTGTAAATGCTGCTGCTGTAAACATTCATGTTCAAGTTTTTGTATGGTCACACGTCTTCATTTCTCTTGGGTACATGCTAGGAGTGGTATCATATGGTTAACTCTGGTCATATAGTAACTCTGTGTTTCATTCTTTCAGGTACTGCCAAAGACTACTTTCCAAAGTGACTGCACCATTTTACAATCCCACCAGCAATGTACAAGGGTTTCAGTTTCTCCACATTGCCAACACTTGTCTTTTTTGATTATGGTCATTGTAGCAAGCATGAAGTAGCATCCTGCTGTGGTTTTGGTTTTCATCTCCCTGATGGCTACTGATGTTGACATTTTTCCATGAGCTTAGTGGCCATCTGGGTAGTTTTCTTTGGAGAAATGTCTACTCAAGTCTTTTGCCCATTGTTTAACTGGGGTATTTGTCTTTTGAGTTGTAGGGATTCCTTATATATTCTAGATACAAATCCCCTATCAGATAAATGATTTGCAAACATTTTTTCTTATTCTATGGGTTGTCTTTTCTTGATGGTATCCTTCAAAGTTGCTCATTCTGATGACTTCTGACATCAATGTTTTTCCTTTGTTATTTGTGCTTTTGGTGTTATATCTAAGAAACTCTTGCCTAATCCAAGGTCATGGAGATTTATGCCTATTTTTAAGAGTTTTATAGTTAATTGTGTGAATTAAAATGTAAACATTTATTTCTAGACTCTCAATCATATTCCATCGATTTATGTCTCTTTATGTTATTACCTACCACACCATCTTCATTACCGGAGTATTGCAGTTAAGTTTTGAAATTGGTAAATGTAAGTCCTCCAACTTTGATTTTTTTTTCAAGATTGTTTAGGCTATTCTACATCCCTTGAATTTCCATAAGTTTTAGGACCAGCTTGTCAAATTTCTGTGAATTTTTATAGGGATTATGTAATCCATCATTTTAGCAATATTAAGGCTTCTAATCCAAGAACATGCGCTGTCTCGTCACTTATTTAGGTTTTCTTTACTTTCTTTCAACAATGTTTTATAGTTTTCAAAATAAAAACTTTGTAATTCTTTTGTTAAATTTGTTTATAAGTATTTTATTTTTATGCTATTGTAAATGAGACTGTTTCATTAATTTCATTTCATTCTGATTACAAGCATATAGAAATACAATCAAATTTATATACCACAACCTTGTTGAATTCATTTATTAGTTATAACAGCATTTTTAGTGGCTTCCTTAGGATTTCCTATATACACTATCATGTCATCTGCAGTTTTACTTCTGCCTTCTAACCCAGATAACTTTTCATTTTCTTGCCTAACTGCCCTGGCTAGACCCTTCAGTACAATGTCAAGTAATGGTAAGAGCAGTTTTTTCTTATTCCTGATCTTAACGGGGAAAACATTCCACCATCTGGTAAAATATTGACTATGGGTTTTTTCATAGATGCTGTTTATCAGGTCGGGGAAGCTCTCTTCTTAGGTTTTTGAATGTTTTCCTCATGAACGGATGTGACTTTTGTTGAACACTGTGCCTATTGAGATGATCATGTGGTTTTGTTCCTTCTGTGGTGAGAATGTGCACTAATTGATTTCAGAGGCTGACCCTGCTTGCCTTCCTGAGGTGGGAAGGGCATCTCTGCCTTCATGAGCCTGTTTTCTCAAGCAAGTCCCAAGTCCTGTGAGGTGCTCAGCTGAGGCAGCCTCAGGGCAGAGCCAGCGGGTGGAGGCCTAAGCCATCCTCCTCCGTTTTGGGGTGGGATCTGCCGGCGTCCCCCCAGTAAACAGCACATGTGTCCACAGCCTTCAGGAAACCTGTCATGTCAGGGACCTCTTTGGAAATTCTTGGGAAATAACTGAAGCCAAGAGATGGCATCCCAGAGTACGGGTGGCTGGGAGAGAACGGGAGGCACGTTCAAAAGGAGGGGGGATGGGGTCTCGCACCCTGAGCCCTCGGGGACCAGAGCGGGGTGGGTCTGCTCCTGTGCACTGCTGCATGCCTCCCAGACGTCTGCACACAGCCACGGGCTCCAGCGGGGCCCCGCACACACCACCGCCGCCTTTACACGTAATGCGGGCTTCATCACAAGGGGTCCCGGAAGGCCTGTCAGGGGACCTTCCAGCTGTGTCCACTGGAATTAGGTTTTCCAGGAGGGGAGGGAGGTGTCCACAGGATATCCCCACCCCCATCACCCCTCCTTTTGCAGACAGCTCCGCCCCTCTCCCACCCCAGTTCAATCCACTCTCTTTTCTCAGATCAGGACCTTGTCACTCTAGTCTTCAGGACTGGGAGCAAACATGCCAGGTGCTATGGGGGGTTAGGGGAGCGGGTGGCAGGGGTGGATTCAATCCTCAAAGAATGAAAGGTCCAGGAAACAAAGGGAGCATTTCACATATATAATACATGCACCTGAATACTGAACTGAAAATGGTTAGGAATAAAAAAACCTTTGCTCAGCTAAAAACTGAGATGGAGCCTGAAATTCAGAAATCCCAGGGTATTACCTGGGAATGGCACTGCCTCTCCTCAGAGTGACTCGCCAGGCTCACCCAGGCTGGCTCTTCACCTCGGTGGCTTCTCCAAACACCTGGGAGGAGGCGGCTGTCAGAGGGAGGGGTTCTTAGGACTAGCTCAGCTCTGACTTGAATCTGGGGGCCCACAGGAAGCCATTAATGCAAGAACAGGACCTGAGGGTGGAGCAACAGGAAGAACAGCTACCCCAGGGCAGTGGTCAGTGCCAGGGGAGACCACGCTGGGCTAGAGAAAGGTCATGCGCTGTGTGGCAGACACGCCTCTGAAGGGTATTCCTTCTCTACAGAATCCACGCCAGTGAGCCCTGGCCCACTCGCCTTGCCGTGTACTTCCCCTCCCAGCCACTTCGGTTGTCTGAGGTTGAGTGTAAGATCTTAGTGACCCCCCACCAATGTACATTTACAGGATACCTGCATGGGCACACTCCCGTGTTCCTGGGGAACAAGGATATGCGAGGTAAACTAGGGCAAAAGCATCCCAGGGCCGTTCCTGGGCAGGACCCAGCACACTCTGAGGAAGTATGACCTAAGTCCCAATCCCCAACTCCCAAAGCCCGCTCCCCTAGAGCAAGGGCAGAGAACACTTGGGGAACCCAGCTGGCCCTCAATTGGTATTACCACCCCAGCAGCTGGAGGCCTAGTCTCCAGGGACCAACATGTTCGATCTATAAGTTTTGCCTGTTTATAGGCCCTGGTGTTCGGCAGAAGCAAACGGAGGGAGCTTTGCCTTTTCTAGAGAAGGCCAAGCTCGGTGCTACAGCTGGGCCACCTACCCCTTCTGCTGTACCCACGTGACTGCTACCCAACCAACTTGGTAAAACCCAACAATATCATCTGCAAACGGTGCTGAGGACAGCTGGACTTTTGCATGGAACATCTTCTGATGCTGGGAGGACTTTTCGAGGGCCTGTCTCCCTGGGAAAAGGCCTGTGCACTAGCTGTTGCTCTGTGAACTGGCATCTCGGCCTGTCTAATTCAGAAAACTGCCCAACAACCTGAGCCCCCACCCTCCCCCTCCCCCCGCCCACTGATCTACGCCAAGCCCGGGCTGCCCCCAGCCCTGTCACTTTACAGCCCCTTCTCATACAACAGGGCTTCTCTTGTGGCTCAGCTGGTAAAGAATCCGCCTGCAATGTGGGAGACCTGGGTTCAATCTCTAGATTGGGAAGATCCTCTGGAGAAAGGAACAGCTACCCACTCCAGTATTCTGGCCTGGCGAATTCCATGGACTGTGAAGTCCATGGGGTTGCAAAGAGGTGGACACGACTTTCACTTCACTTCACTTCTCATACAACCAGAAAGGATTGAGAAACACCCTGCAGACAGTTAAGCTCATGAATATAAGAGACTCTCCACAAAGTTCCAAATCACCACCGATGCATTTATTTGCGGGAGAAAGGGTCAGATCTTATTAGGAACTTTAAACTGGATATGACTAGAGACACTGATCTGCCTAACATCTGGGTGTTCACAACTGCACAGATAACCATACCCTGCACATGAGGCGTCACCATTAAACCGACAAGCCTTTAACTTGATGGGGAGGGGAACACATTCTGAGCAGACACATGATTTCCCATTTAGAAGGTGCTGCCTTAATCAGACAAGTAGTGTTGAGAAAAACAAAGACAGCCTCCTAGCTGGACGTGATGGCAGCCTCCTGAAAGGGGATCACCCCCTATTTACAGAGCAAGAGCATGAAGCCCCCAGCTGAGCTGCAGGATGACGGCTGGGGCTGATGTGAGGGGTGTGAGTGGGCAGTGCCACCTGACCTCAGGGGCCTGTGCCCATCCAGCGTGGGCCTCCGCAAGCCCGTCTCTAGCCCCCTGCACGAGGCTGACTGGGGAAATCTGCAGAGTAAGTGGATTGGGCCCCCACTCCCCAGCCCCACCCCACCTTCCCCGGGTCCAACAATGCCCAGGCCACTGGACACAGCCTCACCCCCACCCAGGCCCTGCTTCTGGAGAGACACATGGGAAACATGGAAACTGAAGCCCAGCGTGCTAGAGCACATCTAGGTGATGCTGGGTGGTTGTCTGACAGGTGCCCCGAGATGATCAGGCCTCACCCACGGTGGCCAGGCTGAGACAGCATGGTTTGTTTTGTTTTTTAGGTGATTCAGGTTACTCCAGGGCAAAGCACGATCCTGATGACACCCGGCGGAAAAGCAGGCTGGAGCCTCGGAAGAGCTGGCCCTGGATTGGAAAGAGCAGTCAGGTCAGTTGAGAGGGGAGGCCAGGCTCCTCAACCCACGCAGAGCCAGGCCAGCGTGTACCAACAAAGGGCCGGGAGCTGTGAGCCCCCAGGGTTGGAGGCAGCCAGTCTGGGTTTGCACTCCTCGGTGGCAATGTCAGAATCTGCTCTGCGCTGAAGCACAGAGTGTCCAGTGCCGACAGGGCTCCTGAGCAGGACACTGCCAGAGGACACTCACTGCCCTCTGGCATCAGAGCCAAGTGGCCTAGGGCTCCTCCCATACACAGGCCACGATGCACATGGAACCACCAGAGATACTGAAGGCCTGCGTCTGTCTCACACCTCCCTGTTTCCCTCCCATCCATCATCCTTTTCTCAAGCCAGAGGCCAGTCAGTGTGCTGGTTCCTCCTGCCCAGGCCCCTGCATCATCCTACTGAGGCCAACCAGGGCCGGGGAGCCAAGGATCTGCCCTGGGCCAGCCACCTGGACCTCTGACCCAGAGCTCCAGCCAGCAGAAGTGTGCATCGGCACAGAACACAAAGACTTCAAGACTGGCACTCTCACCAAGCTCACCACGTGGCCCAGCGCCAAGCTCAGGCTCCCCTGGGCACCCGGGGCGTCCTGCGGGAAGGAGGGGCCAGCCTCCGACAGGCCAGGTGTGTCTTCAGCCCAGGTCACTCAAGGTTATAAGGAGTTCTTGGGCTTTACCACCTACCCTGTGGGCTTGCTCATGCTTGTCCTAAGAGTCTTTAAGATGTGAAAAAAAGACCTAGTCCAATGTCTAATTCTTAAGGAAATTCAGATCTAAGCACCTCAAACCCCTTCTAAAGAGTAAAATTTACTTTTAAAAGGTATGGATTCCATGACAAGCCCTTAACCTTCCATGTAATGAAGAGTATACAAAAATCTTTCCATCTGATCACTGTTATGGAAAAATGAGGAGAAAACTCCCTGGAGTGCATGCTTACCTGCACACTCAGGTACTTCCAGCAGTGGATCCAGGATTTGAACACTGGGGAGTAAGGAGGGAGCCCAGCCTGAAGCCTGCCCGGGAAGGAGAGCGTGTCAGATCCAGAGGACGGTGAGAGGAGCCAGAGCTGCCACCACCCACATACCAACCCACATATTCCTCCCAAAGGGGTACAAGAATCCCAGAGGAAGCCGGAGTGCCAGGTGGGCGGAGGCCACACACAAGAGCAGACAGGAGGGGCTCAGCCAGGTGCCCCCAGCAGCCCTGGCAGGGTGCCTGGGGGAGGGGCACACACCTACCCACAGTTGTTCACGGCCATGAGATCACCGACCAGCAGGAAGGGGTAGGTCAGCATGCTCACCGCAATCTGCAGGGAGACCCGAGGGTCAGGGACCCCACCCACTGCCACCCCGGCCCTGGGTTCAGGGGGCAGGGACACCCTGTGCCAGCAGCCTTCACTGAGGCCTGCCTCCAACCACCGGAGCTGGCCTCCCAGCCCTCACCCAGGCCCCAGCACCGTGGAAAGGGCCATGGGGCCCAACTTACCCCCATCACAAATTTGGTGTAGCTCCGGATGGCCAGCGCCTGGCTGAACTGGAGAGACACAAAGGGAGACGGGTTTGCCTCTGGAACTCGGGAAGCAGACTTCAGACGTGCAGGTCCCATCCTCACTGCCTGCTCTGTGGCCCCCTTCACCCTGCCGTCCACACTGGCCTCGCGCCCCACTAGCACTCAGCTCCTCACACGCCCGCCACACATGCAGTGCCCACTTTCAGGGCCTGCCCACAGCTCCTGCAGCCTGGGAGTCAGAGCCGCAATCATCTGGGGGGCGGAATTGGGTTATCCGGACTGAAGGGGCTTCTGTGACCCCATCAGGGGTGGTGAGTGGTGAAGGGCAGGAAGGTGGGCTTCTGGCCTGCAGCCTAAGTCCTGAGGACTAGGCCTTTGACCAGTGCCCAGGGCTCGGCACACATGAGTGCTGACTGAGCGGAAAGCCAGGTGCCCGTCTGAACCACCCAGACAGGACCCTGGGTCCCGCAGTGAAAGGTGAGGGGCAACTCTGGGTTTTCTGTCCCCCACCTCACCAAACTCTCACTCCCTTCAGGCCCAACTCCTGAATTCAACTTTGCCCACGAAACAGCCCCAAACCAGGAAAAATAATGACCTATCCCTCAGCCTCCAGTGGGGCCGCCCCACCAGATGGACGCCTCGCAACCCTGGGCGGAGGTCTGCTGGGCCCTCTGCTTGAGCGGCAGCCTCACCTTAGCCTTAAGCACTTGAAAAACACTTTCAATCAAGTGCTGACTGCTGCTGTCAGAGGTTAAGTGCAGCAGCCCCTGGTCAAACAGCTGCCCACTTGGACCGAAGGAAGCCGTCAGCCGTGGGATGACCGCCCACCGATACCCCAGCTCTCCCAAGCTTGTTCTTTGTGTGACGGTATGGCCATGGGTGTGCTACTGTAATTACTGTGACTTGCATTTGCTTACATTAAAAGGCCAGTAAGACTCCACTTACCCAATTCAAATGGCCCGTTTCCCTCTGCCCTAGCTACGAGTTCTGAGGCACTCTTCACCATGAACTCTTTCCCAGACCACCCTCACCCCGCAACTGCCATTCTGGGGCCCAGACACAGACACAAGACGATGAGCCCCCCACCCCCAACAAGGCGATTCTGGCAGACAAGTCCCCAGGGCCTCGTCAACCCTCCTGGGGCAGGCGATCCCTGCTGTTGGGATGTCTGGCTACCAGGAGCCCTGGCCCATCACGGCCCCCCGCAACTTGTATCTTGGTTCAGGCAGAACTAGTCAACCTATCAAGTCCCCAACTTTCTTAACCAGTGCCTTTTAGAAGGATCAAGGCCTCCCCATGACTGACCCAACCAGCTGAGGGGTCTGTGCAGACTCCTGCTAACAAGAGTGGGGTGTGCCTGCGTGGCACATGTCCCACCTGACTGGAGCACCCTCGGCTGGGCCCAGGGAGACAGACTTAGCCCCAGCCCTGTCAACTCACGGCCAAGGGCCTCAGGACAGCCCTTCAATCTCTGGGGCTCATCTGTCTGTAAAACACGGTGTCACCCCCACTCTGCTCCTTTCACAACTGGGGTGCTGTCAGGATCAGACACCCACGTTCACAAAAGGGCCTGAGCAAGCCCCAAACACTAAGTGAAAGCTGACAAGTTATCACGAGCTGGTCTATCTCCTGACTTCCTAGGGACCCCTAGCTGGGTCACTGTCTCAAACCAGCCTTGGATAACGTCCGCATCCGTGTTATCAGTGAAGCTGCCCAGTGATGGGCATCCCGTAAGCCCCTCTAGGTCTCCTTAGCGATCTCATCTCCTCGGAGACAAAGTTCACCCAGGGACCGTCAGAGGTCTTCTGCTCAGACCGCTCCCCGCCAGGGACCCTCTCCAGCCCCCGAGCCCAGTGCTCAAGAATCCCAGAGTCCTTGAGTCTGCCCCAGACCCTGGGCATCAGCAGTACATGGAAAGATGGACAAGTCCTTGTTCCAACCAACCTGGGAACCTGGATTCTGGTCGTTCCCCAGCCCCCCTGGGGTGTCACTCACGCTGTCATCCACCAGGTAGGCATTGATGAAGTGGGCCAGCAGGTTACAGCCCCACAAGAAAACGACATCGCCCAGGAGGTGAGGGATTAAGCCGCTAAAAAAACAAGGTGAGCAGAGATGAGCAGGAGAGGGAAGGGAGCAATTCCCTGGGGCTCTGCACCCAGGAAGCAGGCAAGGATGTTCCAAGCTCTAAACTTCAGCGTTATCTACCAGCACCACCTCAGGAAGGGAGCCTGCAGGGGCCGCATGGGCCAGCGGCTATCCACACCAGGAAGGCAGTGTTTCTTTCTTCGCAGGGTGTGGGGAGGTGGGGTGTGTGCTACATGCCACATATGATAGCACAAGTTAAGTCTATGATCTCAGAAGCGGTTTTCAAACTATAGAAGCTGGGCCTTAGGATATGAATGTTGCAAAATCTGGGATTTTCAAATGCAGATAAAGAAAAAGTACCTACACTTTTGGCATTTTTCCTTTTGCCTATTTACCTAATCAACTCTCACAAAACTTTGCTCAGGGCGTCTGTCTTCACCCCTGGAACATTCCACCAAAGACACTCCATACAAGCTTCTGTAAGGAGGGCTGTCTTTTAAAGTGATGGCCTTTAGAATAAGCATCTCTACACAGTAATATGAAGTTTTCTTAAGATACAGTGCTGAGGGTAAAAAGCCAGACTGGTATCAGTTGGTCCTGTGTGATCCTTGTGGTCTTTTTGTTTTTTTAAAAAAATGTGTTCATTTGCTTGTTTAGATATGAAGTGATGTGGAAAGAGCTTCAGGAGAATGGCTGTATCTTCGGGAGAGGATGCAGAATTAGGATTTTTGAATTTTTAAAAATATTTCAAAATATCTGAAAAGTTAAAAAAGAAATAACACACCTATTAACATGATATGAGGGATATTAATAAAATGAACCTTCATGAATGTAATTCCCAATCCTGTTGGTTCCATCTGTGTTCAGACTGACTTTTCACATATACACTCAGGGATTTCTGAGCACATACATCATGTTCTACAAATATGCAACAGAAAAAAAGAATCCAATGGGTAAGCAGCTTTTGTGTGGGAGTCCTATTCACACATCAGAATAGAATGTATATATACAGTGAGAGTGAAAAATACCAGAGGTGGTGATATGCAGTGTTTTAAGGTCTGAAGTACTAGTCATGCAAGCAAATATTTATTCACATACACACACACACGTATAGATATACATAGATATGAACGTACATTTGAATAAGTGTGTGTATATAAATCAAAGTTTGTCAACCTTGGCACTGTCGACCTTTAGGGCTGAGTAAATTCTTTGTCATGGGAGCCGACCTCTGCATTTCGAGATGTTTAGCAACATCCCTGGTCTCTACCCACTAGATCCCAGCTGTGACCACCAGAAGGCGTCTCCGGACATTACTTATGTCCCCTGTGGCAAATCCACCTCCTGCTGAGAACCACATACACCCGCACACACGCCTACATGCAGAACACCTGGCCGACTGTGACACCTCAACGTGAGTTAACACAGAGCCCCACGTCTAGCACACTATGCTCATGACAGCATGTATGTCAGTGTTTAGACTTAAAAAAAGCAAAACAAAAATATTTCTAAGGCCTGGCTTTTGGGTTCTGTTCATGGTTTACAGTCTTTTTATACAGTGTGAGTTTTCTTTACAGGTGGAACAAGGTGGGTGTGAAACACAAGTAGGGTGGAGGGTCTGGGGCCCTCAGGAGATGGTGTGCCCCACCATCCCGACAGCTGCTCTGCAGAAACGCAGGCCCAGCACGGCTAGGTCTTAACTTTTTAAGAGAAGCCAGAGACAGGGACTGTGCGAAACATTCTGAATGTTAAGTCACTTCAGTTGTATCTGATTCTTTGCGACCCCATGGACTATAGCCTGCCAGGTTCCTCTGTCCATGGGATTTCCCAGGCAAAAATATTGGAGTGGGTTGCCATTTCCTTCTCCAGGGGATCTTCCCAACCCAGGGATCAAACCTGTGTCTCTTACATCTCCTGCACTGGCAGACGGGTGACAGGTTCTTTACCACTAGCACCACCTGGGAAGCCCAAATGTTGAATATGAAGAACTACTTTGTCAAACGGGATTCATCAGCTGGAGTCAGTTTACGAGCTGCCCAGGGCTTGACCTTCAGCCCAAGTCACAGACTTCCAGCTGTTTTTCTGCAGTGAAACCAATGACGATGGATGAGCTGAAGACCTCCTGAAGGCCAGCCTTGTGCCCACCCCCAGCCCTGGAGCAAACGGACGGAGGCAGTGGGGTTGGGGTGGGGGGATGTTCCCTGCACTCCCGGTGTGCTGGACGGACAGTACCATCGTTCTGTGAGCTTTGTCGTGGAGGGGGCTGGGCAGCTCTGGTTCTGCCGGTCCGCAGCGCACATGCTGTGGAGCTCTACGGGCCGAGCCGAGGCGCAGCGGTTAATCTGAGGCTAGCAGCCGCGGCCTGAGGGTTGAGAACGCGCCTGTTAGTAGACCCTGCTCCATGGCAGTTACAGGGAGTATAAAACTCACGTACACGAAGAATCCCAGCAGGCCCTCCTCTTTGAAGATCTTCCCAATGGAGCTCAACACGCCGCTGTGGAGAACACAGGGGACACGAGGTCACCAGGCACCTGTGAGAAGCCCGTACCCGGGTGGGGAGCACAGCCCCCGCCCCTGCTCAGAGCCATCCGGTCCCGGCCGGGACGGGGAGGGGACATCCTCTGTCGCTAGGCGGAACCCAAGTGGAGACGGCCACAGCCCTTGTTTGGGGGTGAGGGGGCATCGACACAGTTCACTGAGACTCAGGAAACCCACCCCACTGGGGGCAGAACCCCAGTTCTCTATGGCTATCTTGCGTGGATCTGGAATGTAGGAATGAACCTCCCAGCCTGGGCTGCTACAAGGCGATGGGCCCTTCTCCCGGCAGGCTCGTGTGCTCAGCTCTGGCTGAACAACCCTCTGGAGCCTGCGTGCCTGACAGAGAGAGAGAGGAGGCGGGTGGAGAGATGCTCCTTCCCAGAGGGCAGGGAAGGAAGAGAGGGCCCGGCAGCAGAAGGCCCTTCAGCTGACCGCTCAGATCGCCCAGCCTGGGAAAAGACACCTGGCCTACCCCAGCAGGGAGCTGGGAACATGTGCCCCGCGTGCTGCAGCGCTGAGCCATCGGAGGGCAGGCTGGGACGTCTTAGGTGTGAAATGCAAAGGAGGCTCATCTGCAACCTCTGGGGCCGGGACAATGCAGGGAGGCTCTGCAAAGCTGAGGGGGCCGCAGTGGCCGAGGTGAAAGGTGGTGGGAGCCAGAGCCCTGCCGGGCCCCAATACCCTGCTTTGCAGGACTGTGGCTTGGCCCACTGGGTCCTGAGCCCACTGGGGGACTGGGCCAATTTCCCATTAGCGAACTCAAAAGGAGGGCAGTGGCCCCAAGGACAGCTGCAGGAAGCCACCGAGCCCAGGAACTGGGAAGCTGAGAGGGTGACAAGTGCATGACTCCTGCGCTGTGTCTCCAGGACCCCCTCCTGTCCTGCACCCAGAGGGGAGGGAGGGCACAAGTGCCCCAGAGAAGGGCGGGGTCAGCACACCGATGACCCCATAGCACCCAGCTCGGTGCCGGGCATGGCAGGTAAACAACGGGAGGGACAAGCGCTGAGCCCACGGGATGGATGGCGGCTTAGCAGAGGAGGGGACCAACTATAGGCCTGCTCCTCTGGCAGCTGGAGACAGAGTCAGGACACAACCCAGGGGTCAGGAGGGAACCCCGGTAGGACCCCTAATCAAATGGACTCCAATCCCACCCACCCCTCTGCAGGGTGTCCAAGCTCATCCAGGGACGCCCTAGATGAGTGAGGAGAAGATGCCCTGGACTCAGACTACAGAAGTCACTAGCCCACTCCTCTGAAGCTGTTAGAAACAGGGCAGAGACGGGGCGGGAGCTGATCCCAGTCTGGCCTGTCCCGGGAGACTCTGAGTAGTGACAGGGCCCTCCTGCCCATCCTGAGAAGCATTACCCACCTGTACTTGGCCTCCCGTCCCACAAACTGGACCATGCAGCGCATTGAGATGACTGAGGAGAAAGGAAACACACAGAGGTGACGCAACCGCCAAAGCCCACAGCTCCCTGGCTGCGATGCCCGGCGCGGTGGCCACCGCACCACGGGGCCTGTGTCAGAGCCCAGGAGGGGACGCGGCCTCTGGGATTCCTGTGATCACGTCCCATTTCTTCTGCCTGGGGAGAGCCCCAGCTCCTCTGGACTGGACGCCTGGCCGATCCCAGTAATGCTACTTCCCAGTCACTCTATTGCTCCCTGTCTACCATCCACGAGGGCTCATCCCACGACTGGGATGCGGTCTCCAGTGGGGCGGCTCACCATGCAGGGGGTGGGCCAGCATGCGCGACACACACTGCATCATCATCTCGTAGGAGGTCTGTAAGAGAGCAGAGGCGGGGACTCGGTCTGGCCTGTCTCTGGAACTAACACTCACAGGGAGTGATGAGCACATAACGGGGAGAAACCAGGCTCCCGAGGCTCCCACACAGGTCGGTCTACCTCGGATGGGCCCCGGTGTCACCGCGCACAACCCTGTTCTCCGCCCCCACTGAGCATGCAGGAGGCCCCAGCTGTGACTCTTCACCGACTGGCCCGACTTAGCAGTGAGAGATAATGATCAGGCTCTTCTCCAGTTCTGGGTACCCACCTCCTTCACCACCTTCTTCAGAGAAGTCTTCATGTCATCCTTGTTGGAAACCTGCTCGATCTCGTCTGGAGGGAAAACCTGAGATGCAAAGAGCAGAGGTGGATCAGAAGCAAAGTATGAGCGCACCTCTGAGCTGGGACTGGGAGGGGATGCAGAGGGCAGGAAGCGGCTCTGGCTGCTTTTCCCAGCCATGTCCGTTAGCGGGACCCAGCGTGGGAAATCCCCCCCAGGGCTGGAGTTAGGCGGGGAAAGCCCCCGTCAAGTGTCACAGGGAGGGCCGGGGGGCAGGAGTGTTTCCAACTGAGGGGACTCAGCACCGGACCACCCAGCCTTGGAGTCTGGCTATGGTGCTAGAGGGGGCAGTGGAGAGCCCCTACCAACCTGGGCACCAAGAAGCACTACGGGTGCCCACAGTGGCCTGCAGGGGGGCCGGGGAGCTCGGGGGGCGCCGAGCAGCCAGTCCTGGCTTTGACCGGGGCTCACCTTCTTCATGCTGCCCCGGGTCACAGTGGAGAGGGCGTTGGACATCAGCCGGGGGCTCAGGCCTCGGAACAGCCCTATCTTCCCGTCCACCTGCACGATGTACTTGGCTGCGGGAGAGCAGACGGGGCAGCGTCATGCCCCGGCCCCGGCGCACCCACTCCTGGGTCACACTTCACACCCAGACCAGACGCGGCCTTGTCCCTCGGTACCTGCCGGATTCCGTCATGGGAGGGAGCACCGGCCACAACCCCGGGAGCACTTGGGCCCCACTCCCAAACGTCTTCTCTAGCCCATTTCCTTTTGCAAAACCTTCAAAACATATATATTTTTTGACAAACAGGTTTATGTTTTTCTTTTTTTTAGCTGTGAAAAATCTCCTTGGCAAATTGAGTGACGGGTTTTCAACTCAGCAGCTTCAGTGCTACAACCAAGGAACCAACTCTGCTGCTGCTGAAAAATGTTTTCCTCTGGAAAAAAAAGGAAAAAGACTGCCCCCAGGGAACAATGAAGTTTGCAACCTAAGGGAGGGAAAAGGAAAAGGAAGGGCTCCCAGGAGAAAGGCTCGAGAGGGCCCCCTGGGCACGTCACGGAGAGAGGCATGCCCACTTTGTCACTGTGCTGCACCCAGGACCCCACCGGGCACCTCCTGGCATTTATTTATTATGGGGGTTGGTGGGGCAGGAGGGGGAAACCAGTTAAGAAGAAACTAAAATAGAGGCACCAATGAACTACTCTACAGAAAAATCTTAAGTGGTCAGGGAAGCTGGACCTTATCTAAGTCAGTGGTTTTCCTGAGGGTCTCTAAAAGGATACTTTCTTAACATTTTGTTGCTTTATTTCATTGAATATCAACTTTTAGACAATGCTCAAAAAGGCAACAAGACTAATTTTTAGAAACCTGAGTGCCTGGAAGCTAGCAGAACATTCCCTCCCTGGAAGCCCTGACCTCGGCTCTCCAGCTCCGCACAGTGGCGGGAACCTGCAAGGTGCCTGTCCTCCCCTCACGGCGTCTGCCGGCAGCCATTCTTCCTGGCAGCTCCACGACTTTCCCAGCCCCAGGGCACCTGGCACCTGCTGGTTTGGCTTCCGGAGCCAGGGGTAGGGCTGGAAAGAGACAGGAGGAGAGAGGAGGCTGGGCCACCGGGAGGATGCCCCGCCTCAGAGCAGAGGGAACAGGCAGAAGGAAGGTTTGTTTTGGGGGAAGGGAGCTCCAGGCAGCTGGAAGGAGAGCTGGTGGGATAAAGCCTGAGCGTTGAGTTCCAGAAAGAGAGGACACTTAGCCTCTTTCTATTTCCACCCAGTTTCCGAGCCAGAAGAAAAGGAGGAAGCACGCCTACCTCTCCCCATCTCAGAGCTGAATTATGAACCAGGGCAGAGAAAGGTAGGCAGGAACGCCTGGAGAGGCCTCTGTGTGACCAATGGGCCTCCTGGCTGGCCAGGGGCTCCATCACTCCACGGTTTCTCTGTAGTCCCCCAAAAAGCTGGAAAGGAGGTCCTTCCTGGAAGAAGGCTGAAGACTGTCAGGCTTTTCAACGTGATGGGGAGGAAGAGATCCTGTCCAGACAGTGTCTAGACAGACAGACAGCTGGGCCCCATCCCCATCTCGAGCGCAGGTATGGTGTCCAGAAATGCCCATTAGGCATCTACTTCCACCATCTGCACTGACACCACATTTATATAAACGGGGCGGGGGGCACCTCAGGACTCGGCTGGTCTTCACAAGGGGCTGTAAGATGACCATCAAGACCCTCCACCCTGCGTCCTTTCAAGAATGGCTGTGGGACATCAACAGAGACTGTCTGGGTTCCCGTCTCTCTAGGTCTAGAGCCCGGCACGGCTGTGTACAAAGAGACGGTGGCGCGGGGCTGGCAGCCTGCCACCCGGCCTCCCGCAGGGCGAGTGTTCACTGTGTACACTGGCTTCATTGTGCGATGGGGGTGGGGAGGGCTTCCTAAACCAGTGACGTCCTCCTCCCCAACACTGACGATTTTTAAATGAAACAAATATGAACAGACTTCCTCCCCCAAAACGACATCTTCCACCTGACCCATGCTGTACTCAACAAGGTGGCAAAACTGGAAGAAAAACGGGAGACCAGGTTCAGCCAAGAGTGTGTGACATGGAAAAACGGTGAGGAGGGGGCAGGGGGCGCTAGGGCCTAAGTTATTTAGCAGAAGGAAAGCTTTTCAGAGGACTGTTCTGGACTGACTACACAGATAAGAAGAGCAGGGATGGGTGGGGCATGTGGGGATCAGCCCGGCTGTGAGAGCAAAGGCACCTTTAAAGAAGCTCGAGGAGGGTGGGCACTGGGAGGCGGGCAGGGATGGTAGATGTGAAATGGTCCTGGCCGGCTGTGGGCCAGGGGACGAACAGTGTGGGCAGCTGGCGGGCTTTGCTGGCATCGGGCAAGCCCCACCCACCGCAGTGGGCTTCTTGACGGAGAGACCCGCAGGCAGGCTGAGCTGCTGAGCTTGTATGAAGGACCTGGGTGGGCAGCAGCTGACAAGGCGGGCAGGGCCGGAGCAGCTCGGAACTGCAGCAGGTCATCAGGGCCAGAGGTGACCCCGAGACCCACCTGAGTGGGTCTCACCCCAAGGGGTGGGGGTGCTTGAGTGAGAGGGCACTTCTGCCTGGGGAACAGGGCAGGAAAGGAAGCCAGGAGGCCCAACAAGCCTCCTGCTGGACGAGCAGGAAGGCCGAGGAACTGGTAACAGGACAGCCAGACTGCTCAGGAGGGAAACAAAGGAAAACCCCCGCCGCCCTCGCTCCCAGGCACAGCCCGGGGTGGCAGAGATGACGGGAACGCTGTCCCGGACAGCCCTCTCTCGGGCACCCGTCTGCTCTCCCGCTGACCGCGGGCAGCCCGGGCAGAGGGACTGGCCCACAGCCATGCTGATCACCGGCTCCCATCCCGACACCCCACCGTCACCGACCCCACTCCCACACCAGTTCTGACGCTGGGTACCCCATGTGGCCCCAAGCATGTTCCCCGGGCCAGGCTGGGCCTGCTCCCTGCTTGACGGTTCTTTCATGTCTCTCTGGGCATGGGCTTTCCTGCCTGGGGAGCACACTCACCGTAGGTGAAGAAGCTCGGCAGGTAGAGGACCTTCCTCCCCAGCACGTTGGTCCCAATGGTGGGGGGCATCGGCTCATGGCCCACCTTCAGAATCAACAAGCAAAGGGGCAGAGTCAGATTCTCCTGCTGATTCGGTCTCCCTTCTCATCTTTCCCAGGCCTCAAACTCTCCTCCCACAGAGCCCAGTGCTGTTCCTGATGATGCTTTCCCCGTCAAAACATACCCAGAATTTCATGTTAACTATCAGCATCATGTAATCGCTCAAGGCACAGAAGTGTCCAGTTCCAGATTCCACTCACCACAATCCAAGCCACCCATCCCCCAACGTTATCTCCCAATTCCAGATATTTCCAGTGCAGGGACTCTCCCCTCACCCTATGTTCAGGTACTTCAAACCCATGCTTATCTCAGAAAAAAAAATCTCAGTTAATTCTCATCTCTAGGGGAAAAAACATCACTCCAGTCTCAGTCCCAAGGTGGCAACACAAAAACCCATCGTACCCAGATCTCAGCCCCAGACTTCAGATGGCTCCTGCACCCCCTCAAATTTCCTCCTGCACGCTCTGCAGACGTCACAGATCCGTCCCTCTCACTCCCCAGCAGAGCACACTGTCACCTCAAACAATTCCTCACCGGTGATCTAACCTTGATCACCCCACATCCCTGGGACAGAATGACCCCCTCATTTCTGTAGGGTTATAATTCTTGCTGTACAGGTGATGATTATAATTAAGGTGTCTGCTAAAGTCATGGGCAAGTGAAGGACCAAGCCACCCCAATCTCTGTGAGGAGGAGAGGGCTTCTCCTGAGGGGTGAGGCCTTCTTCTGAGGGGTGAGGCCATTTGCCATACTGCCAATTAATGAGAGGATTCTCTGCTTCCCCTTTAGAGGCAAGGTGTCCAAGAGACCAGCACCTCAGTGGGGTGTGAGAGGGCCCCTCCCTGGCAGGGAACCTTCAGAGCAGCCCAGATGAACCAGGGGAGCTCCGCTAGGACGTGAAAAAGAGTAAAAACAGCAGGATTGGGAAGTGCTGCCTCATCAGTGGAACTATGCATGCTTCCAGCTTCTTCTGGGCTTAATATTTTTGCTTCTTCACCTTAGTCAAGTGTTTCTGTAAGTTGAAGTTGTCTCCTGCAGATGGGATTCTGAGCCACATGACAGATTACTGATTTTGACTTAAGAAACTCCCTCCAGGACGGAGAACTTCTTACAAGAAAAAATCTAGCCCAGGGGAGTTGGAGGGAAGGGCTGGGCCAGGTGACCTAAGCAGTGAGCCCTCCCCGTCTCAGACCTTTCTCCTTCGGGGCTAAAAGCGCGGAGGTTCTGAGGTTAGGTTTGTTCTGGTCTTGCTCTTATACAGGCCGTATTTCTTTATACCCTCAACTCCAAGTCGGAGCCGCTGCCCTTTTACTGCTTTATCCACTTCAGTCACCACAAATCGATGGGCAGCCCCATCGATTTCACCCTTAAACCTGCTCAGTCCCTTCACCCATATTCCCAAATCTGTGGAGTCTCTGTGGAGTCTATTTTCTTAACTTCCACCTGTGTTATCGTAGGCCTGCTGATCCTATCTCACTCCTATTCCCTTCACTCTCAAAGTTTTTGGGTCTTCACTGCTGCAAGCGGGCTTCCTCTGGTTGCAGGCTACTCTCTAGTTGCAGTGCTCAGGCCTCTCATTGCAGTGGCTATCTATCTCCTGTTAGCTGCCCCAAGGCGTGTGGGATCTTCCCCGACCAGGGATGGAACCTGTGTCCCCTGCAGGGGGATTCTTAACCACTGAACCACCAGGAATGTTCTTCACTCTCAAAGTTTTAATTATTTGTTCCCAAGTCTATTCACCCAGTTTCGTCCCCAAATCTGTTAACTCAGTCCTAACCACTGCCAAAGCTGTGGCTCTATACCAGATACTGACAGAGCCAGTCCCTCAAATCCCTAACACCCATAAACCCTGATCTCAGGCACCGCATTCTTTTCACTTAACGGGTTGTTGTGTCGTATCAGTCGTGTCCAACTCTTTGCAACTCCACGGATTATAGCCCACCAGGATCCTCAGTCCATGGAATTCTCCAGGCAAGAATACTGGACTTGGGTTGCCATTCCCTTCTCCAAGGGATCTTCCCGACCCAGGACTGAACTCAGATCTCCCGCATTGCAGGCAGATTCTCTATAATTACTCACTTTTCTGGGACAACCCCCAAATCTGCCACTCCAATCCTGCCACCCAACCCCAAACTGGAATCTTCCTTTCTGCAAAATGTTATCTTTAATTCCCAAACTATATCCATTTAAGATTTCACCCTCAAATATGTTTACACTCAGCACCAGCTGTGTTCAAACAGGACAGACCACCTCAGTCACCCCAACTGGGCTCACTCATCCTTATCACCCACAGACTGCCTCACTCTCTCGACTCCCTCATTCCCTAATTCCCTGTTCTCCCTCATTTCCTATTTGCTCTCATCCCTCAACTGCTTTTCCTAGTGACCCTTATTTCAATTTTCTTCTCCTACAAAAGAGAAGGGAGGACCTTCTCCTACCAAGGTCCAAATGATGAAGCCACTTCCAGCTTTCTTCACATGGAGACCTCTGCCCACTTCTTTGTAACCCAGCAGCGTCCACTCCACAGACGCTCCTACTGGCCACCCTGAAGTCGCAGTCCTCGCCCAAGCTCATTCCGTCATCCTTGCTTCTCGTCTCAGGTACCACCAGTTCCAAAGCCTCAGTTCCTCTCCCAAACCTGTGATCTCTATTGGTGCAGATACAACCTGAATTTTTATGAGAAAAGCAGCCCTTACTCCCAAATCACAGCCAGACACCAGGCTCAACCTTCACCCTGTCAGTCACTTCCAAGACTGAACGTCCTCCTTCTTTGTCATGTTCCTTGCCGCACTCCAAAATCCACTGGCCCGGGTTCCTCAGACCCAGATTGCAATTACTCCTATTCTCAAGTCCCTCTCTTTCCAACTGTATCTCCCACTCTCAGTCCGTTATCAGAACAGTAAATCTGATACCCATTTGCCTCAACTCAAATCAAACCTCAAGATTTGGTTAGGTTTCCACCTCAATTGTTAACCCCTCCTGCTTCTTAGCTAAAAATTCTAGGCCGAATCTTCAGGTATCAATCCAGGCCTGAACCACCCCATCTAGGCTGCGCTCCTCTCGGTCACGCCCACCTAATTCTGCCAAAGGCACTCCCTCCACCCCTGCACCCCGCCCCCTTCCAGCTCCGTCTCCCTTTCTCAAGCAGCCCAGTTCATCCGTAAAGGCAATGCTGCTCCGACCAAATGTGCCCAGTGCCCCTGCATGCCTCGACTGCAGAGACAGCCTACCTTGGCCTCAGTCTGCCCCAGTCCCTACATACCCTCCCACCTTGTGTTCCCAACAAGCCCCTCTGGCCAATTCCAATACGCCCAGACCACTCCGGCCCCCAACCGTGATTTCAATGTTCTTCAAATGCGTCATCCCTTTCCCCCCTACAAAGCCTCCGCCTGGCTCCCCTTTCCAGACGGATCGCCACTACTCCTCCCCCCACCGCGTCTCCCAATCTGCTCCCCTCCTCCAAAGCACGTCATCCTGTCCCCTCCTCCCACCAAATCTGTCGTCGCCATCAAATCCAGAGCCCCCATCTCCTGTAAACCGATAGCTTTCCTGTGCTAAATCCTTCGCCTCCGCCAAATTCCATCAACACTGAATCCTGTGCCTCTGTCCTCTCCTCTCCAGAAGCTGATGCCCCTTTTTCTTTCCTAAATTTTTGGCCATGACCACAATCCTTTGTCCCGCTCCCCCCTCCATCCTCCTAAATCGCTTTAAACCCATCTCTACCAAATTCAGAACTTTGGTTCTCCTTCACCCTAAACAAGTGTTCATCATCTGAATACTGTGCCTTGGCCCCCAATCCTCCTCTCCATCCTATCGCCAAAAACTTCCCACCCCTCCCCCAATTCTGTTGCTTCTTTCACCCCAAAATACGGCCCCTCCCCTCCAAGTCCAAGTCCATTGCCTCCGTTCTTTCATCTCCTAAACTTATCTCTTCGTTTCATCGCCCCCTCCCCTGTATCCCGAAATTCCTCATTCCTTTTATCTTCTCCCAAATTTGTCGCTGACCCTTTTGCCCTCGTCTCCTGCACCCCCAAACTATGCCCGCTGCATCCCTAAAACCCTCACAGCTTTAGTCTTCTCCCGCTCCTGCGCACCACCCGCCTTCTCTGCCCCCCTCCTCAAATCCATCGCCTTCCACCCGCCCCGGCCCCATCCCCTTCCAGACCGCGGCCGGTCACCTTCACATCGGCCCCCCATCTCCCCGTGGCACCCCTGACCCCCACACCTGGATGAGCAGCTTCACGTAGAGGAGCGGGTGGCTGAGCGCCGTCACTCCTGCACCAAGCGCCACGAAAAGAGCCTCGGTGGTCGGGGCGTTGTCCCCGGAGCCCAAGCCCCCGGACGCACCGTCCATCCTGCGGGCCGAGGGCTGCGCCGCCGGCCGAGGGTGGCGCGGATGCGCGCGGTGTGCGGGCGGCGGGTCGCGAGCCCTGGCCTCGACCCCCGCCGCCGCCCCGCCGCGAGCTCCGGCTCCAGCTCCGGCTCCCGCCATCCCCGCGGCACCGCCGGGAGCCCAGGACGCCACTTCCGGGTCCAAAGCCCCCATGGCGCGGGGCGGCGAGGTCACTCCCCCGTCACGTGACGGGGCGGGCGCCACGCCCCTCTGCGTCATGCATCAGGGGGCGGGCCCGGGCCGCACCACTGCTGGCGGCGGGGGATGCGGGAGTGTGGCGTGGGGGCTGTTGGATGTGGGCCCCCCCAACAACAGACACACCCGGCAGGGTTGGGGCCTAGCTCAGCGCCGAGCCGTGGGCTGGGGGTCAGTGGTCGCGGACGGCCGGGACCGTGGCCTCGGAGACTCTGAAGGCCGCCGCAGGCCTGGACGCGCCCCCAGGGCGGGGGGGGGGGGGGGGGGAGGGGCTCGGCGGTTCTGGAAGCCAGGCGCCCCCAATATGGTCTGAGGCGCTCCCAAGCTCCCCCCATCCCTGGCTTCAGGAGTCTTCTCCGCGGCTCTGGGTCCGCCCCTTTGCGGCCCGCATCCCGGGCCCCGCGGCCTGCGAGGACTCTTGTGGCAGGCTGAGTCCCTTTGCTCTCCCCAGACTTGTCTCACACCGCTGCCCTCCTCACTCGTCCAGACCCAGTTGCCCCCTCGGCGGTTGTGATCTTTCTCCTTGGCAGTTGAGCCTTCGTCTACCTGCCTTCGAGTTCGCGGTTATACTATGTATTCTGCGCTAGAGTACGTGGAATTTCCTTCGTCGGGTCGGAAGGTTTTACTTAGTCCTTCAGTGTGAGCACTTGCAAGCATTCTCCTAGGAGCCGATAGTCTCACCTTTAGTTGATAAAAACAAGTCATAGGTGACTCTTAAATCGTACTTATTTGTGCCACTTTTTGAAGTGCTTTGAACAAGTTGACTCAAGTATGGCCTCTTGAGAGTCTTGTGAGGAAGGTATTTATTCTGCGTGCCCTGTTCATGTTGTAAGTGTGCACACTCCCTGCAGCAACACGTGGAACCTGCTAGTTGTGGCGGTGCTCACAGAAAGCTTCTGTTTAAAGGGATCCTAGTCTCGGCAGGGACACAGCAATGGGTGACCTGATCTCTTTGTACTTATCCTGTCTTCGCTGTGAGAAAGTTCTTGAGAATAGTCTGCCTTCTGAAGTCTTAGTCCTAGTTTCCTGGAATCTGCCCTTCCTGACTCCCTTCCTGCCCTCTAAAAAGCCACATTTCCGCTGGCTGCTCCTGACAATAAATACTCCATACACTTTCCACGTCCCAAGCCTGTCAGGGTGCCTCCCTCATTGCTCTCTCCTCCACGCTGACGTCCTCAGCCCAGGCTTGCTCCAGTCTAACTCACTGTAAAGCCTCCTTGTCCTCTCAGGTTACAGTGTTTTCATCGAACCTACCTCCCACCCCCAGGAGCACTTTAAAAGACTTCCTTTGGTCTGGTTTCTGATTTAACTTTGTTAACGGGGACCTTAAAGTCAGCTTCATTTAACAGTTACAGCGCCTTAATAACTCCACCCAGAAGGGGGGTTTCCTTCCTTTTTTAGAAGGAACCCTTCACCTTCCTTCTGAAACTTCCTCACACAAATCTTCTCCTCCTCTGGGCTTTTCCTCTCTGTGTTTCTCCAGTTCTCTGTTTTTCCTTCCTTTCTGATAGGAAAGGCCATTAGCCTTTTATCCGCCTTGGGTAGTCACCTTACTTTTTGTGTATGATTGGTCCTTTCAAACTGGTTCTCTATAAGGCGGCTTTATTGTGTTGTCTTGCTTTGTTCTGTATCTTCCACAGAAAGTGTTCAGTGAATTGTTTTTAAGTAATTGAATAACTTCCCCGAAGAAACTGAAGTAAAAATAGGTCAGTGGCAGCCATTATACCCCTAGGGAACAGAGCGGAAGCAAATGTAAAACTGCCCTGTAGCTAAATTACCACAACTTGGGGCTCATGGGGACACCAAGAGGAAGAGAAGAAAAAAAAACCTTCACAATAAAAATACTATAAGCCACTCGAAAAAAGGTCCATATAGTCAAAGCTGTGGTTTTTCCAATAGTCACGTATGGATGTGAGAGTTGGACCATAAAGAAGGCTGAGCACTGAAGAATTGATGCTTTTGGACTGTGGTGTTGGAGAAAACTCTTCAGAGTCCCTTGGACTGCAAGAAGGTCAAACCAGTCAAACATAAAAGAAATCAATCCTGGATATTTATTGGAGGGACTGATGCTAAAGCTCCAATACTTTGGCCACCTGATGTGAAGAACCAACTCATTAGAAAAGACCCTGATGCTGGGAAAGATTGAAGGCAGGAGGAGGGGATGACAGAGGATGAGATGCTTGGATAGCATCACTGACTCAATGGACCTGAGTTTGAGGAAGCTCTGGGAGGTGGTGATGGACAGGGAAGCCTGGTGTGCTGCAGTCCATGGGGTTGTAAAGAGTCGGACTCTACTGAGTGACTGAACAACAACAACTCTCGAAAACACATTCATTCCAACATGAAAATTAATGGGCAAAATGGAGGATTAATATTCCCTGGAACTTGATGTAATAGATCTATCTGAGAGAAACTTTAAGGGGAAAACGGCAGTTTTCAAACGAAGGGAAAGAATGGAAAGTACTGAAAGAAAGAAAAAAAAAGGACATTGTGAGAAAAGAAGAGGTATATTTGAAAAGGAATCAAATCATTTAGAGATAAAGAATATACTCACTGAAATGACTGAGTGAAAGACAATCTTGCTCAGCATTCACTCAACTGAGCAACCTGTCAGTATGTACTTCCAGCTCAGCTGGTTAGTACCCGCCTGCAGTCCCTCGCCCTCCGTGACTACCCCCTCACGGGGCTTACCACACTGCGCTATAGCTGCCTCTTTCCTTCCCTGTTAGACTGTAAGTTCTCTGAGCCCACTGGACTGTTCTATTCATGGTTGGCACAGTGCCTGGCACATGGTAAGAACCCAGTGAATAGTCACTAGAAAATGAATGAATGAGCAAAAGTACTTTTAACCATTACAAAGTTATTTATGCTAGCACCACTTAAAGAATGAAAACTTCAGGAAGACCCATATGCCCCCAAAACAGGATCAAATAAGCAGCAGAAAATTAACAAGAAATACTGGGACTTCCCTGGCGGTCCATCGGTCAAGACTCCATGCTTCCACTGCAGGGGGCTCGGATTTGATCCCTGGTCAGGAAACTAAGATCCGGCATGCCATGTCATATGGCCCTAAAAAGAGAAATAATACATAATACTCTTGTAAACCTTGAGAGTAGTCAGGTATGTAGATTAGCAGTCCCTGGGATCCACTATGGAAAACAGTGTGGAGATTTCTTAAAAAGCTGGAAATAGAACTGCCATATGACCCAGCAATCCCACTCCTGGGCATACACACCGAGGAAACCAGATCTGAAAGAGACACGTGCACCCCAATGTTCATCGCAGCACTGTTTATAAAAGCCAGGACATGGAAGCAACCTAGATGCCCATCAGCAGACGAATGGATGAGGAAGCTGTGGTACATATACACCATGGAATATTACTCAGCCATTAAAAAGAATTCATTTGAATCAGTTCTAATGAGATGGATGAAACTGGAGCCCATTATACAGAGTGAAGTAAGCCAGAAAGATAAAGACCATTACAGTATACTAACACATATATATGGAATTTAGAAAGATGGTAACGATAACCCTATATGCAAAACAGAAAAAGAGACTCCGATGTATAGAACAGACTTGTGGACTCTGGGAGAAGGCGAGGGTGGGATGTTTCAAGAGAACAGCATCGAAACACGTATATTATCTAGGGTGAAACAGATCACCAGCCCAGGTTGGGTGCATGAGACAAGTGCTCGGGCCTGGTGCACTGGGAAGACCCAGAGGGATCGGGTGGAGAGGGAGGTGGGAGGGGGGACCGGGATGGGGAATACATGTAAATCCATGGCTAATTCATTTCAATGTATGACAAAAACCACTGCAATGATGTAAAGTAATTAGCCTCCAACTAATAAAAATAAATGAAAAAAAAATAAATAAATAAATAAATAAAAAATAAAAGCAGTCCCTGGGATCATGTGGGGAACTACTATTAGAATGAAAAGGCAATACAAAATAGCAATTTCTCATTATTGCAACCAAGTTGATGTCACGCTAACCAGGTCAGGAAGCAACTTGAGGTGATGCCAAGGCCAGAATGAGAATTCAGGCCTCACCCGAGGTGGGGTGAGCTATACCAGGTGTCAGAATTTACCCTGGTATAAAGAAGATGGGTTTGTCTGTATGTAGGCTTCATGTTTATTACTTTGGGGTGAAAACATTCTGGCGGCTGCCTCTGTTCACCTGCTTGCCTGGAGTAGGGATGGGGAGCACTGGCCTTCCTTCTGTCCTGAATCCCTGGGGTTCCATACCTGCCTTATTTTGGGAAACACCTCTTGTCCTAATTAGGCTCAAAGAAGGTATGTTGTAACTGGCACTGCCTCAGGAATTCTGGCATATCATGCAGTCACTGGGCATGTTGTCATGTGAGATCACTAAGCTTTCCAGGAGAAACCCGCAGACAGCTCTGAAACTAATAGGTCCCAAGGCCTTGGGATGAAGCCTATGAGAGTAAAGAGGGGAAATGGGGCCTCTTCACTCAAGGGAGAGTGGGCATGTCACAGTGAGCGCAGTAGTCACCCCAGGGTCAGAAAGGGCCAGATGCCTAGTCGGTGTTCTGTTCTATTATCCTCCTCTTGGTGGAGAAAGGTGAGTCTCTTGTGCCCAATGTCTGTTTGTCCTGAAAGGTGGGAAGAAGTTTTCTTCTCCTGCAGTAAAAATAAAACATTAATGGGCCCTTGCCCCGAGTCTGGGTGAGTTTGGAGATTAAGACATCAGGACTTTTCTTTCAATGGAAGGATACTCAGCACTGAAACGACATTGATATGGGCAATGAAATGGATGAGTCTCAAAAATATTATTCTAAGTGAAATAATCCAGACACACAGAGCACATATATAATTCAATTTAAATGAAGTTGTAAAACAGGCAAAATGAATGGGGTTAAAAATCAAAACAGTGGTTGCCTATGGAGGAATGACTGAAAAGAGGCAGGAGGACGTTTTGACGGGGGGAATAAAA